AAATAATACCAAGATGTTATTTGAAATTCTTTTTTAAAGTATTTAGAAATATTCGTCGGAAAAAATAAGTATATTATTTTGCTACAGGTTTATTTTACATTATGTAGGATAAAATTTAACAAATTCATTTAACAAATCGAAATAGGTTTAGTTAACTTATATTAAAAATCAGATTTGTGAAAAGAAAAGTCCTATCAGTTTATCGTCTTAGATGGTGTTAACCAAGTTTTGGTTTTTATTATAAGGCTTTAATCACAAAACCACTATTTAAAAAAAGTTGTTGATTTTCAAGAGTTATTAAATGAACTATCAGGAAATTAATTAACAAATTAGGAAAGCAATAAAGTTTACACTATATAATAGTTTAACAAAATGAACTTTAAGCAGACAGCTGCTTAAAAATAAAACGTGACATCTACCTAGAGCTAAGTATTCCCCAGAAAGATGTTTTGCTTTAACTTTACATTACTATTCACCGAAAGCTTAACAATATGTGCGAAATATCAAAAGTTTTGAAATTGGAAAAAATCACATAGTATAACAAAGTAGTACAGTACAATTTATGGCCCACTTGGCTACACAAAAAAAAACGTTAACTGTAAAAAATAAAAATATTAATTTCTTTGCAACTTTCCGCTAAACATATAAAATGATGTGTCTTACCTGGATTGAAGCGCACCTCCCGCCCTCCCTCAATTGCATACACTAACTCCGTCACCACTAGACCAAGCACCACTACTCTCAACACCACTATTCCAGGCAAGACACACCATCGACGATAATACGACACGTGTTTCGCCTCTACACGAGGCAACATCAGGTAATATAGACTCTACGGCGGCTGACCGCTAAGTAAACGGCGAGTGGAAACAGTTGCTATTTATAGACGCTGACACAATCGCTCCCTACCAAAGTAGCGAGTGACCGCGTCGTGCGATAACAAACCTGCCAACAGTTATTATTATTGTTATGATTATTTTTAAATACTATTATTATTATTGTTTTGAGTGACCGCGCCGTGCGATAACAAATCTGCTACTAATTATTATTATTGTTATGATTAATATTTTAAATACTATTATTATTATTATTGTTTTATTGATATTATTATAATTATTTATTATTATTAATCTTAAAATTATTATTAAAGATTGGCCTTAAAGATGTTTAACAAAGGTGAATTAGAAACATTTGTTTGTTCATTCAGCAGGGTATAATTACCATTATTACGTTTTAAAATCTCCAACTGCTCCAGCACACACAGTCGCAGCCCCTTATTACAGGTATGTAAGACTTCAAAGGAATGGTCGCTAGCTAGGTTGTGTCCAGTGTCCAAGAGATGTTTAGCAAAATGGGATTTATCAGGATTGCAATTTCTGTACGCGGCCATATGTTCTTTATAGCGCGTCCCGAAATTGCGACCAGTCTGACCCACGTAAACGGCGTGGCATTCGTCACAAACAAGTTTATAAACACCCGATTTTTGACTAATATTTAACTTATCTTTATTATTACAAATATTCCTAAGCGAATTGTTTGTTTTGAATGCCACGTTAACGCCGTTTTTCTTAAGACTATTAGCTATTTTTTCCGATATGGGGCCTAAGTAGGTCAAACTACCCACATACCGCCGAACACTTTGAGATCGAACCGCGTACAAAGAATTGCGAACAACATGCTTTTGTTTCTTTTTAATAAGATTATCAACGAGACTTTTTGAAAAACCGTTAGAGACCGCAATTTGATAAATTATATTAAGTTCTTTTAAATAATTTTCTTTATTTAATGGAACAGTGGACAGACGGTTAATGTAACAATAAAAAGCGGCTAATTTATGTTGCCATGGATGACACGATGATGCGGGGATGACCGTGTCGGTATGAGTTGACAACTCACTACACACAACTCACTACTCACTCACTCAACAACTAAAAAAATAATATATATATATATATATATATATATATATATATATATATATATATATATACACAACATGTAAAATAATTAACGCACATCCTGTAAGTAGTTTGTTCAGAATCGTTTACTGGATCGATTCCTATCATTTTTAATATAGGTAATTAGTTTTATTTGTGTTTTTACTAATTCTGTCATTCAATAAATATAAAGAAAAATGAACTTTATTTCAAGCACGGTAAAATCTTTGCGTTCGTGGATTTGTACTACTACAACATTCTTCCGGAATTAGTATAACTAATTTGATATGCGTTACAATTATATTATATATATATATATATATATATATATATATATATATATATATATATATATATATATATATATATATATATATATATATATATATATATGATAAAGATATCTATTTTGTAAAACATGAGTAAATAAAATACTAGTGTTAAAAAACTTAAAACGAGCTACATGTTTTGCCATTTATGGCGTACAAAAATTATACTACATTAAGTTTACAATTACAATAATAGGTATATAAATATATGAATTAAATTTGATAAAATATTTTCAAGTAGAATAATATTGGTGTCGAAGGTAATAATAAAAATATTTAATCTAAATATAATTACAGCCAAACATTACCTCCCGCAAGTTCAAGGTTGGTGCTGCAGTGTCAGATTCATGGTTTCCACAAGCTACAATCCAAGTATGCCGCCTAAGAGGATCTCTTGGAAATCTGTAAAACAGACCAATAATTGAAAAATTTACTACTTTTTGGAATACTTTATTATAAAATCTAAATAAAAACTACAAACCGGTTGGGCAGACAAACCCACATGGTTAATTAACTTATCGATAGCTAAAGTTGCGGCGTGCATCACTATAGTGTAATACGTTCGGTTGCAGTGATACCAGTTTATTTTTATAAAAATTGCTCACTTTTGCTGCGAGGTAGCAAGTTTTGATTTGACTTATTTGGCCTGTATTTTGTATAATATTTTAATAAATACTAGTTATCGATTATATTTAATTATATAATATTCATATATAGATCATTTAACAAAATCCACTACACATCTATATGTAATGATTATTATTCATCACAAACTGATTTTGTTATTAGGAAATACATTTTCGTTAATATAAATAACCTGTGTAGTAAATTATATTTATTTAAAAATAGATTATTTTTCACTTTATGAACTATGATGGCCACACTCGGTATTGAACGATAATATTCACAAAGTACGAGTTTTAATGATAAAATTACTTTAATATTATGTTAAAAATACTCACAGATGAAAAGTCACATTGTCCTTTTGTATACTTGACGTTTTTGATTGTTTTTTTTTTTCACGTAAATACGGTATTTTGTCGGAGCTCGATTTACTGGCACGATGACTTTGGAATGACGCACGACGCGGAGCAACTAGTTTTATATAACAAATATGAGTCGGACTCTCGTACCTTTTACAGAGGGGTATGCTTTGCGATGCCGTCTCCTTTGGTTTAATACTCAAAGATTTATAAAAACAAATGTATGAAAATTAATTTGTAACAAATCATTTATTCTGTTTCGTCCTGCTAACTCGAATTTAGTTCGAGTTGTATGAATTTCAACTCGAGTTGGCACATCTATAGGGTGCAACATCGCTCATTAAAAAACATCGAATTTTATGAACGATATATCGATGTTTTTATCACCATATTAATTTATATATCGAATAAATAATGATTATGTACAGAAATGAAACAAAGAAGTATAATAATCAAACATTTTATTTATGTTAACCACATTTTCGCCACGTGGTAGAGCCACGCTGCAGCTATTATGGTTGTAGCATGAACGGGACGGCTAGACCGGGGTACGACCACACTCTCACAGGATATCAGCGTAAAATTGCAGCTTAATGCTGCTGTGTTTCGTATGGTGAGTGTAGAGAACCGGAGACCCGTTTTACTGGAATCGAGGCATTCCATCTTAGTCCTCAAGGGTGACAACCTCTTATTAGTTTGTGGTGACAACGCATCACCATTTTGATTCTCAATTGAGGTTAAATACAGATGTCTATGGGCCACAGCATCCACTTACCATCAGGTCGACTATGTGCTCGTTTGTCACCGTCTTTCTATAAAAAAATGTTAGTTTAGGAAGTTTTGCACTATTTATTATTACATATTTATTTTAATCGAATAATTATTAATTTTGAACAAAAAACAAGAATTAATTAAACATGTTTTTAACTTTTACGTTTATTTCTTTAGAACAACTTAGCGCCTATAAAGCGGTTTCTCCTCTGGGTGATTGTAAGCCCAGCTTCTGAGAATAACCGCTCACGGGGTACCGAAGTTGACACGATAGGCAAATAGATCTTAGTTGGCTATGAAGCCCGGGAAATAACTTTTTATGTCATCCCACATCTCCAACGCATCTTCCTTTTTAGAAGTGATAGGTAATATATAATATATGAAACTCTCTTTCTGCTTTAGTTAAATCTTTAGTTTTATTAGTAAGTTATGTAAATTAACTGCAAAAACATTGGGTAGAAGTGATTTTGATCAAATTATATCGGTTAAAATTGGTATTAACAAAGAATATCATTCAAAACTACCTTTTTTTTATACTTTTTGTATTAATGTACGCGGCTTTAGAGTGACGCAAGGGCCACCCCAGATGCACCTTAACCTGCTGTCGCTGATGTTGTGAGTTTTGACCGATAGTCCGAAGTTTTAATCAGGCAAAACCATGTTTTACTACAACATTAGTCAAAATTGTTTTTGACTAAGGACCTCAAACCATGTTTGCCTGATTTTCTCAGTCAAACGTGGTTTACGAGTTTGACTGTGATATATTATATACAATGTACTCTATGGTTGATATGACATACTTAATTTTTATTTTTATAATTATTATCAGTTATCACCTTTGATATAAGAAAAATAGGGGATATGAAATACGGTTACGTGATCTGAAGTCGAGTGTTTCTCAAATATGTTACTCCGCCCACAACATATAGTGTCGTATTCATTTTGTCGATGTTTTCAGTATCGTTGTTATAGCATAAATTATGATCAGTACGTTAGTACTCTTATTAGTTTGTGGTATAGAACTATCTTTGAAGATGCCAGGTCTATATATTTTATATACGTCTATGGTATACATTATTCTAATCTATGGTTATCACAGACCGGTGTATATATTAAAGACCTAAACTGACCTAAACAGACTATACTAGCTTTCTACATATTTATTTGTCTATGGACTATACACCATAGATAAATAAATATGTAGCAAGCTATACAAATAACATATTCCTATATATAAAAAAGTACTCTGTGACACATAGGGTGCGTTTCGCAGAAAAAAGTGCTAGCAAGCGCTTGTAAGCAAAATGGCGATCGTAAGCGGTAAGTGCTGTCAAATCGTAAGTAGCTATTTTCCTCTAGGACACGATGTTAGTTTTAACCGGGGAACCTAACCTAATTTAAATATATGTTTGTAAAGTATTCATATTAAAAACTTACCAATCATGAATTTTTAATAACATGTATATATTTATTCATGTCATTATATTACTTAAAACTAATATTGCACAAAACAACTTTTAAACTCTACTTCAAAACAAACAAATTAAATAAGCAAAATGGCGGGTTATGTCAGCGCCACTGAAGTAGCAATCGTGTCCTGGCCGAAAACTATTTTAGCGCTTGTAAGCGCTTGCTAGCGCTTTTTTCTGCCAAACGCACCCATAGATTACTGATTTCCTGATTTACTGACTAACTGACTATATGCTGTGACACATAATGAAGCCCACCGTGACGTCTTAACGCTATCTTTTAATTATTATTATGTAATAAGTACTATAAAATTGTTAATTATTCACCATATTGAACAACTCACAAACTGGTCCTCACCATATAAATTAAGTAGTCTGATGAGTCTCAGCTTAAAACAAATTTGACTAGGAAACCGTTCTAGACAGAGTTTATCTTTAATAATCTCAGATGAAGTAAAAAATCAAGAGTTCAAGCTAGTTATTAGTGTTCTGTGAATAAGCTAAACTGCAAAAAGAACACCAATCCATAATGCGTGATTGCGAGTGTCGAATAGTTCTGCTTAAATTATTTTTCTTACTTTACACGTTATCTTATTATATTATTTCTGCAGGGGATGGTAAGTGATTTATTAAATATACCATATAGGTATAGCAAAGGGTTAAAAGCTAAATATATACTATTTCATGTAGCGCTACAAATATATAAATTGTTACAGTTGGTGACAAGTGTAAGCCAAATGATAATGAACCTAATGGGATGTGTGTGTTAATAACAGACTGCAAAATTGCCATAATGTAAGTAAGAAAGCACAATTGAATTTGATATATTATTTTCATTGTATAAGTCTACTTTTAAAAAATGACAGCCTAAGCTTTACACTGAATTGAATAAGATTACTCGGCTTTTTAAAGGTTTATTAACTAGTATGAATCTGGGAAGCTCTTTGGAATGTGAGGATTGTGGGGGTATTTTGTGCAATTATGTCTGCAAAAATTCTTAAACCCAAGCTGAAATTGCAAAGTGGCTTAGGTGATAATATGAGGACAGTGAAAGATCTCTCCAAGGGTGAATAAAAGTGTAGACAAGTGGTGTAAAATTAAAAATTTTGTACAACGGACTTCAATATAAATAAAATGAGAACATCATCAATGTAGTTGAAGTCAATTAAATACACATTAAGGATACCTCAAAAACTACTGGTCAGTCATCTTAACCAAAAAGTTCTGAGATAACACATTAAAAAAAATATAGTCAGATTGACCTCCTTTTTGAAGTCTGTTAAAAAAGCATAATTTTTGAAATTTCTTGAAGGGCGTGTTTTAAAGTACTTTTGGTCTGTAAGAAAATATTAAAAACTGTTCATAAACAATTTAGGCAGCAGAAACTAAGCAGTAAAAATGAAATGATTATGAGTTATTTCATAAATATATATTATAAGGCTCTTATATGTAGGGTCAAATCAGAATCAGTTGGTATGAAATCTGAATATATTTGGTTCTGAATAATATATAACATTCTCCTTCTTTTTCTCTCTTTTTTATTTTAAAAAACATTACCTCCACACTAGGATTTCACTTGTGTCGTGGGGGCTGTTTACAAATATAAATTTCACAAGGACAAACATCTAGACCTGGAACACTTAATTTTAGGCCATACAAATACTTGTTCTGTGCAGGATTCGAACCTGCGTCCCTTAGTGCTGTAACTCATTGCTAAGTCACTGCGCCACGGAGCCGTCTTAGAATAAAGAATTATATTATCTCGTTTTATGAAATTTGTCAGAACTGTTATACAAAAATATATCTTAAAAGCTATTGATTTCTGCACTTTGATATTTTTGTATTTGATATGTCACTACTTACCCCTTCTACCATAAAAATATGAACTCAATATTTGGGTTGTAACTTCTGAAGCTTAGCTTGGTTGGCAAAGCGTTGTTGGTAGTACTTGGATTAATCTTTCTGGAGTGTAGGTTCCTTTTTAATGTTTACCTTTACAACTGTATATAAATACAAATTTTAGTGGTGCTGTTGTTGGTTGCTCACTTAAAATTTGCATAAATATTTACAGTTAAATAAATTAACTGGGAAAAAGGCATAACATGTTTTAAGTATGTGAATTGTTATATGTTATGTTAATGTGAAAATTTAGTACAACTATTATAAAGATAAATAACATTATGAACAGTTGTATTTTTTTAATTTTCAGGGCGATTCAACGCAAAAACTTTCATAAGTTTAAAAGATGTGGATTTAAAGGCCTAATGGAAATTGTTTGTTGTCCGCAAATATCCACAGATAAATTTGGTATGTAGTTGGTTTAGTTGGATTTTAATATAAACAGATTTTCTGGCAGTTATTTTGATATTACAGACAGACACTTCTACTTTAATTATATGTATGTTAGAAATTATAATAAAAAATGTGTCAACAGCTGCTAAATCTTTAAAATAACTATAGATTTGTTTTAATTTTAAATAGTTGAACATATATGACAGAATAGAAATATAGATTACATGTAATTTTTATTGAAAGTATTTTTTTATTTTTACCATGGATTCGGAAAAACCTCTGTACTGGGAAGAACCAGATACGAACCCAGCGGGACTTTTTATACAATATAATATTGTAGTACCCGGTTGACCGAGCTTTGCTCGGTATTTTTCGCTCGGTTTTTTTTTATTCATGTGTTTTGGAAATTATATTTAGATACAAATTACATACTGATGAAATACGAATAATATTTTTTGATCTTAGCGACATAATAGAAAAAACTGAACTGGTTATTTGAATAAAAAATCATGAGTGCAATTAGTTTAATTTAAATTTTCGTGTTTTTAAAAAATACTAAAAAAAAGGCTCGAAAAAATAAATTTTCTCAAAAAGAAAGGAACTTAAAAAAAAAAATTAAAAAAAGTCGGTCGGTCAGTCAGGGCTCGAACCATGGTATTACGATTTTGTGACCGCCCAATATACCAATTAAGCTATTTGTAATCATTAATAAACTGTCAAAATTTACCTTCTTATTCTAACGATATTGTAACAGTTTTTCATTGCCTAAAAACACGGACAAAAAGACATTTTCTAAAAATAAATCCTAGCTAAATCGATTTATTGCCCCCGAAAAACCCTGCACACAAAATTTTATGAAAATCGTTGGAGCCGTTTCCGAGATTCCGATTATATATATACAAGAATTGCTTGTTTAAAGGTATAGGATACAATTACTGAAACTGACGATAAATGAATCATAGGAAATGACAAATAAAATGTAGTTTACCAAAACTTTCCTGTTGTGGGTATTTCCCACTGATAATTTTGTTGTAATGAGAACAAAGATAAATTAAATATATAAATTATATTTATATATTTAATTAATTTTTGTGATATGCAGTTAAAGTATGTTATGTCTGAAAATCACACTCACAGTCCTGAGCCACCTGCATTCATTGATACATCTATCATGCATCCACTACTGGTATCCCTGAATAAAATAACAAAAGCTTATAACCAATGTGTTATTTTACAGGGGACATAGAAGAAAAATCTGAAAGGGTGGCCGATCGAGGTAAATATTAAATAATGTGTTAATTAAGTACTAGGTACTTTTAAAATAGTGCATCATCAAAAATAAAGATAAGTAGTGGATTTATAGTTCCAATATTATCATCATTACAACTCTTCACGAGTCCGCTGCTGAACATAAGTCTCCCCCAATCCAATGAATTTCACAAAACATTGCTATGAGCCACCTGCACCTGGCTCTAGCTTATTAGATAATTCAATTACCATTATGATATACTGTAAAAACAAATTGTATAATTTTTCAAATGTGGTTTTAAGTTTTTTAATTGTCTCCTTACTATATAGTAAAGTCAAACAAGTCAAGTTTAATATATATTTAAATTGATAATCTCGATATTTTTAGTTTCGATTGAACCCTTATATTTTAGTCAACAGAAGAACATTCCCAATTCAACTGTGTTCTTTATGTATTTTACTTCCTGATATTTGGCGGCAGAAATAGATGAGAGGGTTAGTACCAGGGATGCATCCGATACCGATACCGATGCCGATATATCGGCGATACTCGAACTTTACCGATATATCGGCATCGGCGATATTTTTATGGCCGATTCATCGATATTTTTAATATAAATTTTTACTTTACTTTTAATATAAATAATAAATTTGGCGCTTTAAAAATGTAATGTAAAAGCGCGTGTTGTCTCGTCTATTTCCTTGCAAACTTGAAAAAAATGGCGCAGAAGTACTTTATTTTCCAAATGATTTCTGTCGCATATGAGAGACTTCCACCGCAGGGTTTTGTGCAAACAGATTTGCAAAATCGCCTTTCTCCACAAAACTTAACAAAAATCTCATTAATTTTAATTACATACTATAACTTAACTAATCTCATCCTTTCTATAGTTTTAAACGATTTTATTAAGTTTGTCCTGTTATTTCATATTTGTTCTTTTTATATTAATAAATAAAATAACCTGACTTGTGTTTTATTTATTTTACCTTAATTTTTAAATTCAATAGGGGTATCGGTATCGTTGATATTTTTATAAGAGCATCGGTATCGGTATCGTATCGGCTAAAGGCGTATCAAGGCATTCATAGTCTGTGTAGTACGTGGTAGGTCCATGACGGGTTTCTGGACAGAAAAGGAATCCTATCATTTCGAATAGTCTTTAAAATAATTCGAAGGCGCCATAAGTCCTCTTCTATGTTAGCACAGTTTTAGAAATATGTATGGAAACAAAAACAAAAACTTTTTATTCAATATAGATTATAATTATAAATAATACTTATTGAAAGACACTTTTTTAATTTACCTCTGGTTCGGAAAAAAGATCTCTTTCCTGGAAGAACCATCTAGAAACCCACCTTTTAAAAAAATGGCAGCTTACAATTATGTATACTACATACAATTAACAACACAAAACAAATTAGAAATAGCTTGGTAGCACCTTTCCCAGGGGTTATTATCATACATAAATTTCGTAACTTAATATTATAATAACCATAGAATACTATAACAATAGAATGGCTGTGAACCTTATTTTGTACGAGGATCGGCGTCGCCGGGAGCACACATACAAGCAATTACGTCGTATTATCAGTTATCACTACTACAAACCCAATTTGCTGTGTTGACAGACTGAGCGAATTTACACATTTTAGACTTGTGATTAATGTTTTGACACAAATATTTCTTAATTTTTGTTTCTAATATTCACAATATATAAATAGTTTCGACTTACTGCTTGTAGGATATGTCTCCTTTATTTAAATTCCATTTGCCACTGTTCTTTCGACATGTAATTATTGCACAATTTGCCATTTATTAAATAATTTGCATGCAGCGACGCTTGACAGGAAAATTTGAAACGATTGATTGTGTTGACATCTATAGGTGTGAATTGACATGTTAGTGGCTACACGGGCTCCGCCCACTCAGCCGTTCTATTATGTATGTATTATAATATTCTATGATACTTTTTTTTTTTACAAACTTAATTTAATAAGGATTTTGAACTTTGTTCAGGTCAAATTTTAACAGTATTTAATGGTTTGAAACTATTAAAGATAATATTCACAGCGGAACCCTAACTTGTTAGGTTAGGTTTCGTAGGTAAATAACAAGAAACCCATATAATTTCGCGATGTCCGTCCGTCAGTCCGCGGGTTTAATCAAGAGACCTTAGGTGCTACAAAGTTGTAATTTGGTACGAGGACGGCACTGAAAATTTCGGGAATCGAGGAAGTGACACAACATTACTATTTAAAAATGTATTTATTGCTTTTCGAAGTATTCTACGCGAAATTTGACACATTTTTCCATACGATGGAACCAATCATTGAAGCAACCATTAAATTCGGAAGTTGGGGGTCTCCAAAATGGCCGTTTTGTAGGCGTCCACAGCTTCTTCAGGTGATGAAAATCTCTGTCCACGCAATTTATTCTTTATTTTAGGGAAAGTATAGAAATCATTAGGGCTTAGTTCGGGGCTGTACGGCGGATGATCTAATAATTCTATGTTTTCTTGCTCTAAAAACTCTTTTGTTCTGTGTGCGGTGTGAGAACTCGCATTGTCGTGATGGGGGATGATGCGGCGGTTGCAGTTCTCTTTACGGAGTTCAGAAACGACCTGTGGCAAACAAATGCTAGCATACATTCTGAAGTAACCGTTCTTTGTCCCGCAAGAGGAATAGTCGTAATATGGCTGGTTTTGGAGACAAACGTGGCCACCATTTTTTTTGCAACACTCCGTGAACGAACAATTTTGTTGGCTTCAACTCATTTTCGAACACCCAAACTCGTGACTGGTTTTTTGTTTCGGGTTCGTACGCGTATATCCAGAATTCGTCACCTGATACGATGTTATACACAGCATTTGAGGATCCTGCGTGGAATCTTTCGAGAGCTCTGACGCACCAAGTAACGCGAGCCGTTTTTTGCTCTTCACAGAGCGAATGCGCTATCTATCGGGAAAACAATCTTTTTACACCTAATTGTTCATGCAAGATTATTTGTATTTGACTCATGCCAATGTCTAAAGTTGCCTGAATTTTGCGGTATGTCACATGTCGATCTTCCTCAATCAAGTTACGCACAGCATCAACGTTTTCTTGGGTGACTGCAGTTTTTGGACGACCTTGACGGGGATCATCACTGAGCTTGAAACGTCCACGTTGAAATTCAGCAAACCAGCGATAAATTGTGGTTTTGGATGGGGCTTCATTACCAAATGCAGAAATCATCCGGTCAACATCATGATCATCGCTCTTGAATTTTCTCGAGTCAATTCCATTTTCTCAACGACTAAACAAGTTTGACAAAACCTTGTGACAAGACAGAGAATCTTTTTTTAAATAAATAAATGGTATTCGATTTTTAAAACCAAGGAGTTTTCAATTAAAAAGATTTTAATATGACAGGAACAGTGGAAATATTTCATTCCCGATACTTTTAGTGCAGCCTAGGTATAGTTATAGATATTAATCACGCGTACAAAGTTATTAAATAAAACCTTGAAATATATTTTCGGTACCTTATAAAGGGGTATGATTTTTTTTACCCGTCTATTCCATCGTGTAGGGTATCGTTGAATAGATCTTTCATAATATTGGGGAATATGGAACAACGCTTTTTCGATTTAGGGGTTCCGTTTGCGAAATATTTATTTTTAAACTGGTATTCTTATTAGAGTCATGGGTCCTACCCGCCCCTAACCACTGTTTTTGGAAGTGTGAAAAGTATGCACGATAGTGGAAGTAGTATATACTGGGTAACTATTTTTACCGTTTGGAAAATGATATGGTATTTTGTGTACCTGAAATAGAAGCTATCCTCAAAAGTATTTTTAAAATATAACTAGATAGGCAAATTTTCAGAATATCCAAAAAAAATACATAAAATAATACATCCTACGGCGTTCGCGTATAATGTCAATGACCTTAAAAGTTCAGTGTAAGTAAATCGCCCAGTACTAGTTACTGCCTATTAATGTGATGATGAGCATATACTGCTCTTTAGTAAAATACTTGGTTGATAAAAGAAAGTTAGAGATTTGATATTAGCAGCACTTCTCATTTCCACTCTTTCATTAATCATGCCGTCACCTGTCCCATGTTTGTAAATAGCAAAAAAATAATGTGAAACAGAAAATGGTGAGTAGGTTAAGTAACTTTCGTTTCAGATTATTTTATTGTGATTTCGATCTTTCCTTCATACTTTTACGGGCTAATTACATGTTAAATTCTATCTTGCATTATAGTGAATTCATAAACAGATTCTAATAATAATTTTTATGCTTATCTAGACACACGGTAGCGTGTCAAGCCAAGTTCAAGCAGAACGGCGAGCCGCACCGTGTGTAATATTACACGAACCATTTGGAGCCACTTTTGACCCCCTCATAACTCAAAAACTATTACGGTTACGGTTATTTAGATATTAACGTCCAAAAATCGTCATTTTTATCACTGACTAACCTATAGATCAAAACTCTAACCCAGTTCCAGATAACCTTGAAAGTTCAAATTTGGCATGCAGATAGGTAATTAGGTGAATACAAAGGAATAAATCAGAAACTGGTAAATTTTTATCATTTTATTATAATTTTTCACTTATTTGATTCTATTAGGAACACTAAACTTTATTAACAATTATATTATACTTATAACTGTAATAATGTAAGTTTGTAAGAATCAGTAATCAGCAATAAAAACTTATGACAACCGGTCTTAAATATATAACGAGTTGAATACCACCCTCAATTTTTTTTAATCCAAATATTTCCGTTTTAGTACTTATTACTAAACTAAGAGTATAGTCGATTTTCGTATTTATTACGTTATTAACTGGGATTTAGTATTAATTATTGTTTCAATATTTAGCGCATATCAATAGTGTAAGATCGTTACTTATAAATAAATAATAGGCATTGAGATATACTGATGATAATAGATAGGTACATGGCGCGCGGTGCGAGCGTGCGACGCCGAAGGAGTGGGGAGGGGGAGCTCATAAGCGCGAGCGCCGTCTTGCTGTCCGGTTTTCTCTCGATATCTGACCTATGAGGTTGCGATTTATGCTACGAAATTCATAGGTTTTCTTAAAAAAATACTTATATATTTGTGGTTATATTATTATAATTCTTTAATAAGTACGTATCGCGTGTCTACATGGTATAGGCAATAGGTTAAATCAAAAATTAATAATAATTTTAGTCTAGTTATAATAGTTATAAGTAGGTATGTATACTTAACTCTGAATGAGTTTGAGAATGTGAACTTGTTGGTATGGTAACAAATTGTTTTTCTTGAGAACTCAACAGATAACAGGTAGTTTGTTACATAGTCGTTTTAAATAATTATCTTTTTATTATGTATATTGTACAATGAGTCGTACAATAGAATTACGGGTGGGTGACACACACCGAATTATTCCAATGCCTCCCGATAGAAGTTGCCTATACCATGCGATCGCCGTTTCAGATATTAAGTAATGTATTTGTTCACATGGAATAATTCCCTATTTGCTTAGCATATGTTATTACTATCCACAAATCACAAGGCCAAGACAAAGAGGGCAGGCCTACGTTGGACTTTCCAGAGCTCAAAACCTTAGATGGAGTACATCTTATCAATTTAGATCCAAGTCAAATCAAGTCACAAGAGAGCTATATTGTAAAGTATAACCGTCTGCGCACGTTATACCGCCTCGACTTGGCCAAATTAATTATAAACAGAAAATGCGTGAAAAAAATTCCGGATACTGAACGGGCAATTCACTCAAACATATCAAAGGTACAATAAAATATAGAAAATAACACAAAAAAACAATTATACCCTGTAAACGTAGAAAGTACAGCAGTAATGATTTCTTATATTTACGCGAACACTACACATTGATTAAAACTACTTTTACTAGTTAGTAAAAGCTTTAGCTAGTTTTCATATACGAATTATATTATAGCCTTCGCAAGTTCTAAACCTGTTACTTGTCGGTTCTTATTTTATTGTTCCGAAAATTTGGCTTGCTGTTAAAAACTAGCCATCGAACATGATAATTCGTATATGAGAACTAGCCAAGTCAGACCTTAGGCTACAATATATTATCCTAAGTTATAAGAAGAAATGATATTTTATGTTGTTATAAATAAATTTCAGGACTAACTATTGAACTTGGCACCCATTTAGATCTCACTTCTTTTGTCGTTAAAGTCAACAACCAAGGCATATATCATAATATTGAACTTGGCTCTCATTTCACATTTATGTTTTTGATGGGATCTTATACTGAAACATCTTACGCGTATTTAAAAGATAGAAATCAACTTATTTACAAAGTATACTGATTGATATTTAAAAAATTATACTACATTATGGTTGTTTACAAAAAATTTACCTTTTTAGCGATATCGCAGTAATTGTTCAAAATGTCCACCGATTCTTTCTAAACAAAAACTAGCAAGCCTTTGTAAATTGTTCGTTAAACTTTCACTAACACTTTTCGTGCTTTATCTGTGTACATTTATCGTTTAAGTTAGACCTACAAATAAAAGCCTAGAGGTTTTAGGTCTGGTGATCTCGCCGGCCAGTTCACAGGTCAGCCGCGACCTATTCATCTCATTGTGTACGTTGTAAATTTTAACACGGGTAAATATCGACTCGACCCACCGTCTAAGTTTTCACCAGACAAGACATAAAATCTCACCATTGCTAGGTAGCTAGGTATTCGACATTAGAGTATTTGTACATGTTTACGATAACTATCAGCGGGTGGCTGATATACATGCGGAAAAATAAACAATTTATACGATGTCACGCTGTTGTTATTCACAACTGACTGAAATTTCGGCGTCGGCGGCGGGCGGCCTTTTCGCCTGCGACGCTGCGAAATGACAAGGTCAAGCACAAAGGGCGAGTGTGATACAAATTGATTTTGTTATAACCGCTAGTACTTAAAGTACGGTGCGTATGATTTGAAAAATTTTTGTTTTTTCTTTTTAGTATGAAAACTTTTTTCAAATTAGTAGTATTTATTGATAAATTAAATATCATAATATGTTAATGAATTTAAAAAATAATTAAAATATCAGTTCCACAAGCTTCTACTCCGTTCACCTGTTACACTCTATTTTTTTCCAGACGGTAAAAAATATCATCCAGTTATATATATATATATATATATATATATATATATATATAATCAAGGAAGTTAAACGGGATAAAATCCACAACAATACTTTTATTCAATTTATAATGAAGTTAAAGGAAAACTGTAATAGCTAATTACTCGTAGTCTTAACAAATTAACCAGTAATAGTCAACTAACTTATAAAATGCAATTATCATTAATTTTTTTTTAACAAAATTACGTTGCAATTACATAAAAAATAACTTTAAACTAGCTGCATTATAACTTTGTAATGTTTTTGTAAACTGTAAATTTTATTATGAAGACTTATGCGTTACTAATATAGCTGTACGTTTTATACGGTCTGCTTATCGATAGGCAGACCGATAAGCAGACCGTAGCAGAGGAGACCGATCGTGACATACCACTTTCTTAGTTAGCTTCTTTCTAAAAAAGAAGCGAAAGCAGTCGCTTCTTTTTTAGTTAATAGTTATTGTAAGCCTACAATTTCATTCGTGGTACTTTTCTTTTACGCGGGCGACCGTCAGTATGGTTTAGGACAGTGGTGGCTTAGAGGAAGATTTGTTTTGGTCATGTATATCTTAAGGTTGCACTGCCTGGGAATTATAGATGGATGGGGAGCTATGACCTGTCTATGATTTGTACGGTCTTGCCATGTGAAAAGTTGAAGATTGTGTGATTTTAAAAATAGATTTTTTTAAACTCTTTTTTGAATACCACTCCCTAAAAGTGTGCTTGAAAAATAAGTCCTTCAGTTTTCATAGTCATTTTTGGGCCCATTTTTAGTCGTTAAAGCTGTCAAACCGCGAACTCAATATGCTTTTAGTATCAACAAACTTCACATATTGTGACGGGCAACTACGGAACCCTACATTGTGCGTGTCCTGACACGCACTTGGTAGGTTTTATTATCCTTTTATAACGATTACGTTCTACGGCCAAGTTGATGCTAAATACATTATTATAAACACATAATATGTAAATACTCGCAAACATGCATTTACGCAAGCACGTAAGTTGCTGTTTTATGTTTTACAGAATGCAAAAAAATAGTTGAAAATAGTATACCGCCTCTAGATTTACACATAATTGGTGGTGAAGCAGCATCGCTTGGAGAGTTTCCTCACATGGTAAGCATATTTTTATATAGTAAGTTTTGTTTACACTTTATAGAAAAAACTGTTAAATGAAAATAATTACAAATGCGATTTTAATATAACGATTTTGTTTCAAGTAACCAAAGACTTTTATACATGCTACTAGAACGGCAATTCAGAACAAAAACTGTGTTACTGTGCTTTGGCACCCTCGTGGTCGCTATCTGGGCGAGTAACTGGCACGTGAATATGCCACGTTTTTAGGAAAATACGAAAGTTACATACTTATCTGAAATAAATCTCATGTACACATCTCTGACAACATGCAGGGCGTCGATGAAAGATTGGCAAGGGACTTGTCGCACCAGCGCGACGTAACGTCTGAGCTTTTAAACATTTCCGGTAACCATCGGTCGATCGAGAATGTCAACGACTTTAATTTATATATAGAAAACACTGTTAAAATATCTAAAAGTGCATACGGTTCATACATTCAATACAGCCCCTCGCAAGTTCAGCAGTGACACATAGGCCTTTCCCAAGGTCCTAAGCCACCTACATTCATCGTCTTCCTGGATGTCATACCGGGTCGTCACTCGTAAGACATGCAGGAAGTCGATAATGACTTCGTCTACTGATAGGAGGCTGTCACTCGAGAACCTTTCCCATCCGTTGTCGGTTCTTCGAGCTATATGTTTAGCACATTGCCACAACTACTATTCGTTGGGATATGTCGGTTACACTGGTTCTACTATGGATATCCTCATTTTTAGGTCTATCACGCAGAGAAACTCCGAAAATTGCCCGCTCCATAGTTCGCTGAGCTACCTAGAACTTCCTCATACGGTCTGCAGTGAAGGACCATGTCTCAGACCCACAAGTCAACTGGCAACAAACGCTTGTTGTTTAATTTTGATTTCAGGTTTACCTGACGAGAAGATGTGTCGTAATCTCACAAACGCTGCCCAACTGAATTAAATCAGTGGATTGATCTCTCGATCGAAGTTGGACTTACTTAGTCGGATTATTTGCCCTAGGTAAACATACTCGTCGACAACTTTGAGCGTAGTGCTCCGAACAACTACCGGCCCAGGTGTGACCGTGGACTTTACACATGACATTTGTTTTGTCTATGTTCATCTTAAGACCTAACCATTTGGAGACACTATTGAGGTCATTGAGCATAGTACTTAGGTCCTCCAGCGATTCTGCCATAAGGACCATACTGTCGGCAAATCGAAGGTGATGTACTCGCCATTGATGTTAATATCGTAATTTTTCCAGTCCAATAGCTTCAAAACGTCTTCCGGTGCAGCGGAAAAGAGTTTCGGGGACATATCGACATCCTGTCTTACACCTCTCTGCAGTTGGATGAGTTTCTTACTCTGGTTCTGTAGTTCTACTGTAAAAACACTTCAGCTACCGACAGTCAACTTGGCACCGCTGTGGGGACTAAAGCACCGCCCAAATTTCGACAAAATCAAAGACTTTCCCTTTAGACTAAAATTATTAAGAATGTCTGTCATTCATAATACTCAGGGAATCAAGTTGGAATAATTGTATCATTTTGGCGTCTCCCAATTTGTAGATCATTGCGATTAGTACGAAAGGAAAATCCAAGCTGCACCTCTATGGTTTTAGTATGAATGAGTCTGCTCGAATGGGGAAGGACCTTGCTCTCACTGAATACTAGCGTAAAATAGCAGATTTAAAATGTGTCAGAAAGATAAGTAAAGTAATTTCAATACTTTAATATACTATTTCATTTATAGGTGGCACTTGGATATGAAAGCCCCGAAGGTTATGACTTTCTGTGCGGTGGAACTATACTGTCTGATAGTTATGTCATAACAGCTGCTCATTGCGTGGACACCTTAAGCCAGTGAGTTCTTAATATAAATTATTTATGGCTGTAGTGTTTTAAAAGAATACGTGCATTATCATCAATTTTTTTTAAATAAAATAAAGGATGACAAATCAGCACACAGTCTACCTGATAGTATCTGAATGTTGTGGCCGATAGATACATACATTGTCATTCTCGATTAAGAACCAGCTGATTAGTGACCAATACGGTTTTCGCCGTGATCGGTCAGCTGGTGATCTTCTGGTCTACCTAACTCACAGATGGGCGGAGGCAGTAGAGTCCAAGGGGGAGGCATTGACCGTTAGTTTGGACATTGCGAAGGCTTTCGATCGGGTTTGACACAAAGCGCTTCTTTCGAAGCTCCCTTCCTATGGGCTTCCCGAGAAATTGTGCGATTGGATCACCAGCTTTCTTGCAGATCGGGGCATCAAGGTCGTTGTAGACGGTGAAAGCTCCGATTGCAAGCCTATTAATGCTGGTGTTCCACAAGGCTGCGTGCTATCGCCAACGCTGTTTCTTCTGCATATCAATGATATGTTTTAAACCCGTAACATTCATTGCTATGCAGATGACGGCACTGGTGATGCTCTTTACACCGGCCGAGCCAATATTTCTCGGGAAAACGTCTCCGAGTGCCGGGACAAACTTGTGTCTGAAGTCGAGTCTTTGCTGAACAGTCTCGGATTGGGGGCGACTAAATCTAGTCCAGTTTAACCCCCAGAAGACACAAGTTTGCGCATTAACCGCTAAAAAGAACCCCTTTGTCGTATCTCCTCAGTTTCAAGGCACTCCCCTTGTTGCCTCAGCCAGTATCGGAATCCTCGGCGTCGACATATCGAGTGACGTGCAGTTTCGTGGTCACTTGGAAGAGAAGGCCAAATTGGCCTCTAAAAGCTTGGCGTGCTCAGCAGAGCGGGACAGTATTTCATGCCGGCACACCGCCTGTAACTTTACAAGGCGCAGGTTCGGCCGCACATGAAATACTGTTCCTATCTCTGGGCTGGGGCTCCCCAGTACCAGCTCCTTCCACTTGACCGCATCCAGCGCAGAGCGGCTCGAATCGTCGACGACCGAGTGCTTTCCGATCGGCTCGATTCACTGGCACTGCGAAGAGATGTTGCATCTCTTTGCATTTTCTTTCGCATATACCATGGAGAGTGCTCTGAGGAATTGTTCGGATTAATCCCAGCCGCCAAATTTCGTGAACGCACTACGCGGCAAACGTATCGATACCATCCACACCATCTGGATGCTTGGCGGTCCACAACTCTATGTTTCACAAGGAGTTTTCTTCCGCATACAACCTCTCTGTGGAATAGTTTACCACCAGCGATTTTTCCGGACCGATACGACCTGGGGACCTTCAAGAAAAGAGCGTACTCCTTTCTAAAGGGCCGGCAACGCACCTGCAATTCCCCTGGTGTTGCGGTTGATCATGGGCGGCGGTAGTCACTTAACATCAGGTGAGCCGCATGCTCGTTTGCCCCCTCTTCTATAAAAAAAAGAACCAAAATGCAGCAGCATTAAGGTGATATTGTACGCTGTTATTCTGTGAGAGCGGGGTGCTTTCCCGGTCGAGTCGATCCATTCGTGCTGCAACCCACAATATATCTGCAGCGTAGCTCTACACGTTGATCGTGAAACGTCTACAGGAAATTAATTTGTAATTACATTTACAGTTTAATTAAAATTGAGTTGCGACATATGAACTTTACAAACAAAAAACATGCGTGCAGCTCACAGGCGACAGAAGTGAAACCTTCAAATGAAATGAAATATTAAATACAAATATTTTACGGCAAATGATTTATTTAATATTATAATTTAAACTACAAGTTCGGCATAAAATATAAGAAAATTTAATTTAATAGTAAATAAATGTAACAATCCTTTTAATATATATATATATAAGACCCATAGATATTATATTTTCTTTTGAGTAAAATTATAATAGCGCCACCTACTTCATTCTATAGGTAGTCACTTTATCGAAAAACTGATGGACACCCAAGGTAGTACGTAAAATAGACGCTAGATGGCCTGAATTTATACACAATATGGTTCAATACTGTTTACTGCCGCTGCCACGTGGATGCCATTTCTATATGAAAATCATAGATTATGAAAAGTGAACCATACAGATGGGAAACGCATGAAACTACCTACTACCGGTTTTAATGGTTCTTCTTTTATTCAAATTAATATTACTTGGATTCATTTATTTTATTACTTATTTTATTTAAACGACATTTTTTTAATGAAAAAATGTTTTTTTAATACGTGGTAGATTCATGCTGCAGTTATATTAGTAGTATAGTTGTAGCACGAATGGGTCGGATCGACCGGGAAAGGACCACGCTCTCACAGAATACCAGCATAAAATAGTAGCTTAATGCTGCTGTGTTTCGTATAGTGAGTGTAGAACCGGAGATCCTTTTCTCTGGAAACGAGACATTCCATCTTAGTCCTCACGGTTGACAATGCATCTACATTTTGATTCGTAATCGAGGATAGATGGAGATGTCTATGGGCAACAGCATCCACTTACCATCAGGTGGACTGTGTGCTCGTTTGTAACCCTATCGTAAAAAATGTTTTAAATCTAAAGAAGTCTTTGACATTGTTAATGTACTTTTAAAAGTACGGGATGGCCACTAATTTTTACGACGAGTGGATTAATTTCCTAGAGGATATCTAGCAGAGCATGGTCTGCCAGATATTCATAGGGCTAAGGCTGCACGCATGTTGATATATGTATTTCACCTACCATTTCAGACTGGGGTTTAGTACAAGAAAAAGGTGGTCTACAACAATTGTTCAACTGGTAATAGTAAACAAGTTATAGAGTTTTTTAAAAACTTAAAACCTAATAATCAAGTTTTTTCTTTTAAAACAATGAGTAGTAGTATTATATTCATCTAATATTCCCATTTCCCCCAAAATTAACCCTAATGCTTATGTGCCACAATAGTCTTACAGGTGACTATTGAACATGAGACAATGATTTCAAAAGGAAGGATAGGCCCATCTAAATATTTTACTTATAACTTTTTCATACAAGAAAAAGCAGCGCATCTGTCATAATACAAACGTCATATCATAACACGACGTAGCCAGGGTCGGATTTTGTAGTATAATTATCCTAACTGTACCATTATTTCATAGTTTGTAGTATATAGTATCGTAATAATACTAAGCGCAAATACCATCATTTTACCTAAAGGTCGACTTTTATTATTATTGGGTCCTTTTACTTTTTAATATTATCCCTACGATATCGAGAATTTCTGTATTGTACATGAGTACCGCGTCTTTTAAATAAAATTAGAATTAGCTCCCTTTCTGGTCAATCGGCGCTCGATCGATGCATTTATGTTGCATCCTTGATACAACTATAATGAGTTGCTACCATGATAGAAACTCTATGCTCCAGAAGCAATCGGTTTGAAAACAGAATTTCAAAAGATTTTATGAATCAGATTTTCAGATTCAATTAAGCAGATATGGTTTCTTTTGTACTCTTTTCGTTTTACCCTTATTGAATATAAAATGTATTAGGTACCAATATTAAAAATTAAACTTATTCTAAGTTTTTTAGACAAAAATAAAACATTAGTCAAAAACGAAACGTATAGATAAACTGGACGCATGACGCCAAAATCCCGCCACATGGGAAAAAAGAAACATGAAACGTCAACGGTGATATAATTTTTTAAAATAGTATAATTTTATTTTTCATGTACAATATTTTTGAGGGTCTGAATTCAACCCTGGCCTAATATTGGTAACGTACCTAAACTAACTGTAAAATAAAACTTTAAAAATGCGTTCATATAGTAAAATAATTGTAACAAAATTAATACAGGGTTATTAACCGATGATGCGATATCCCATGTTCCCTTTTCATTTTCGTATCGTAATTTTTGCATTCTTTTTACCACGCAGCTTGACATATTTATGACAGACAAATCTGTCCTGCGCGCGCACTACTGTCAACCGTTTCGCGTTGGCCCTAAACTGTAATTTTAGGGCTAGCGCACTGGTCCGTTTTAGTTGTTCGGTCGACCCGGTCCTTACGCTAGTAATATGTCGGGTGTTAGTGTAAAGTGTAAACACCGTTGTCCTTGAAACCAGTGGTTTGTTTTCACTTATAGAACGTAAATTCAATGAAAAATAACAACTTTTTTTTTTAGTAAAATCTAAATTTTCCCTTAATTCCTCAATATTTGCCTATCCTAAGCCAGGATGAAAGTATGAAGAAAAAGTTATATCACAGGTTATGTGTACCTATTGTGTTTTTATGTTGAATGTTGTGTAGGTAGCTAGCGCGGGCGGTGATCTTGACAGTGATTACGTCACTCGGGCGCATTGGGTATCCATGAATTTACGGGACGGTGTCGGACAGAAACTTTTTAAATTTTATGAAAAAAAAAATTGCGTTTATTTTTTAAATTCATTGAATTTACGTTCTATAAGTGAAACCAAACCACTGGTTTCAAGGACAACGGTGTTTACACTAACACCCTGTATAAGTCAATGCCATGAGACTATTGTCGTCCCGGTTAAACCTTTCAGATTGTCTTCACCCCTTAACCATTGAGCTATTGAGTCTCAATATAGCTATACTAAATCTAATATGTTAAATTAACAACGTGCAGAGATGTTCTAACAAATATATAATAAAAACAGGTTGGGCATGAAGTAAATTTAAGAGAAGAAAAAAATGAAAAATAGATATAAATCAATGAATTCCTAACTATAAAAAACGCTTGCGGTTTAGCTAGCCACTACGCCACTTACACGCGAAACAAACTTATCACGGAATGGCGAAAAGGGTTTTTTTCCAAAAAAATCTCTAAATAAAAATTGCTTATCTAAAAAAATTGAAATTTCACCCACAGTAAGGGCATGAGTTTGTCCTCTATATACCAAAAATAAAAGTTATTAGAGTCCAAACATACAAGATGTGGGACACCAGCTGCAAAAGTGTGGTTATTCCGAGGATATACACCTCCGGCTGATGATGCATATATTTTCGGAAAGAGCTTTTCGAGACGCTGCGAGTGACACCTTCAACTCCCGCCGCAGACTCCTGGTTCGCGAAATCACCTGCCCCGTGGTTTTCGGTTTTACTCTAATAACTCAGGTGTCCTTTATGATCAGGATGATGTGTCCCCAGGTGGCGTACAAAAATCATTAAAAAATAGTAGGTTGTGGTGACTAATCGAGCACCGCACGTGATTTACCGTTTTGCTAATATGATAAAAACGGTTTTCACTTGAAAAATCACTAAAAACTGTTTTGCGGCTAAAACAAAATTACACTACTAGATGTGTCTCCGTAATACGCAAATGTTGACACTAAGAACACTGAAATCCGTTAACTTTTGAACTGCGGGAGCGACGCAGTTTCGCGGCGTACCGCTTTGCTTCCTTGTACGCGCGCGGATACGTGATATGTTTATTTCCTATTTTATCTACTGTGTATATTATATCCACCATAGGCCCATGCTCGCAGGTTGAATAAAACTCTGGCATAGGGATAAGATAATTTTATCTCTTGTTAGTGGATAGAATCGGGGGATAAAATTTTTGTCTCCTGCCCATGCTAGCCCAGCTGTTGGTTTATTCCATTGGCACACCACACCTTCGTACCTTGTTGAACAAAACGCGTAAGCGACGCCGTTTCGTTGGCGTTTACGACTTTATCGGGAGCATTGAGCTATAATGCTTCCTATCTCAATTTATCCCTCGTTAAATCATGAATTTATGTGTCTGTCTTTTTTTACTGTCGCTTTTTCGTTTCATTGAGTTTCAAATCACAACGATGCTAAAGAAGTTTTCATTTCAAAAACATGTGTGCAGTTCACACGCGGTAGAAGCGAAACCTTCAAATTAAATGAAATATAAAATGAAAATATTTGACGGCAAATGATTGATTTTATATGACCATTTTCAATCATAAGTGCAGCATAAAATATAAAAGTTTGCTTTTATAGCAAATAAATGTTACAATCCTTATTCATAGACTTAATTTTAGTGTAATAAATCAAAAGGATATTTTCTTTTGAGGTGAATTGTTTTTTAATAGCGCCATTTATGTCATTCTATTGGTAAAGTCATTTTATCGAACATAAATTGACTCTTAAGGTGGTACGTACATAACGTACAATAGACGCTAGATGGCCTAAAATCGTGGATTGTTATAAATGGATTGATATATTAAGATAATTTTATTTAGTTAATAAATTTGTAAATTTTTTATATTGTTTATTTTAAGTTTAAATTTGTAATAAACCATGTTTAAAGCACCACACAAAGAAAAGACCGAGATAATAGGAAACACTGTATTTAGAAAAAAAAAAAACTAGCTATAGTATTATTATAAAGACAAAAAAGACGGTAGTCCAATGGCGGATTCGAACCTACAACCATTTGTGTCATTATGGCACACAAATCTAAATCTCCAACACTACAATATTTTACGCACGCATGTAGGTTAAATACATTAACATAGAAAAATTTATGAGTTAATGAGATTAAACACTAACCCTACAGTTGTCGCGTGGATTACAATAGTAAACCATTGTAAAATAATCTCAATATTTCTGGAACCAAATGTTTAGAAAAAATATGTAAACTGATTTGTGATCTAAATTTGAAATTAATGTGATATTTTCATATTATATTAATATGTAAAAGATTTTTTATATCATATTGAATAAAAAAGGACGTATAAATGGTTTTTGTTTATTAAATATGATTAACCGTTGACGAAATGTTACGCTGTTTCATATTTATAATAAAATAAAAATACATTCTAATTGATATTTTAAAGCTTTTTCCTTATTTTAAATTGGACATACGTAATCCATGCGACTTTTACGTTATTTTATAAGGCGCATCCGCTGCAGGGTTAAGTAGTCTTGTTTAAAAAACGTTTAAAGTATTTTTTTAACGAAACGTTTAAAGTTTTTTTTTCGTTTAACGTTTAAAAAAAACCAAGTCTTGGTTTTGTGAAAGCTCCCCCATAGTAAAATACGATCACCACCTGCATGCGCGATTCATATTAGCAGATAATTTATTAAATTTGCCTTTTATACTATCCAATTCACATCTCTTCCGTTTATTAATTATTTGTTACAGAATTCGACCAGCGATAGTGCGTATGGGTGTCGTGGAGTTAGAAGATGGCAAACGCAACGACGAGTCGGACGTCGACATTTCAGAAATAATAATGCATCCAAACTACACCAAGCGTCAAAAATATCATGACTTAGCTTTACTGAGGTACTTGGGACTAGCTTTTAGTTATTCTTTCATCTTTACATCATATATACATATACGAAATGAATGTTTGTTTGTCCCGTATGCGTTCCTATACTATTTGTCCGATTACGATATAATTTTGGTTGGTTATTGTGTGGACACGCACAAAGCAAAGGCTTCTGACAAAAGAAATAACATTTGTTTGTTTATTTTCTATGCGTTCCTATACCATTCATCCGATCACGATAAAACTCGGCAAGAGTTGCTGTGCGGCGCACTTGTAACTGTTTTTGCTATAAAAGAGGATAAACTCATGCCGGGTGCTACTTATATATCGAAGAACTGTGCTCAAGTATGCGGTACTGTCTATGTATAACTACACTTTGAAAAAAAATTACAATAGTTCAAATAGGAACTTATAATTTATTTATAATACAGGGTTATACTTTTTATTAGCTGTATAATAATATTGCGTTATTTTGCAATATACGTTCAAATTTGCAGAGAAGGTTCAGGACATATACAATTAAATACAGGCGAATGATGAAGAAAAGATAATTTTTAAAAAATCCAATCATTCTGTCCTTTTTCATCTTTTAAATTGTGGAATGCGTGGTATTGCATTATTTATATCAACTACTGATTATTTATACTAACTGATTGTTATTCATAAATATCTATGCCTGCTATTTTACTATGCACGCACACATTCGTAAGGGTCGATCAGTGGGCAAAAAAGTTGTGAATTGAATCGCACACAGAGGAGCGCGCGTACGTGTTATTGTTGTCCATAAATCACATTCAATTTGGAATAATTTGAAATAAAAGTAGAAGCGTTATTCATATATTTGAACTTAAATATAAATTTTGGATACTCTTAAAAAATTACCCTGTATACATACGAGTATATTTAATTGTATAGATTTAAACTACTTTACTTACTAGCTGAAGCAAGGGATATTTTATTGAAAATATATTTTTATAATAGATGTATTATAATAATAATAATAATAATGGGGAATACCACATAGCGCGCTCCTCTGTGTGCGATTTAATTCACAACGTTTTTGCCTACTGACCGACCCTTACGAATGTGTGCGTGCGTAGTAAAATAGCAAGCATAGATATTTCGTGTATCACAAATTATCCTTAAATAGGCGACGAATTACAACAATGTACTTAGAAATCAAGCTAAATTTTATTACGTAAGAGGTTTTGCTTATGGGCTCTAAGAAATAAAATATGAAGAAAATAATTGGAACTAAAAATCAAAGTAGTGCATTATCATCATCATCATCATCATTATAGCCCTTCACAAGTCCACTGCTGAACATAGGTCTCCCCCAAGGTGTGCCACAAAGCACGGTCCTGCCACCTGCATCCATCGACTTCCTGCATGTTTTACCAGGTCGTCACTCCATCTAGTGGGGTGTCGCCCTACACTTGCCTACCGGTACGAGGCTGCCACTCGAGAACCTTTTTGCCCCAACGGTTGTCGGTTCTTCGAGCTATATGGCCGGCCCATTGCCACTTCAGCTTACTAATCCGTTGTAATATGTCGGTCACTGGTTCTACTGCAGATATCCTCATTTCTAAGTTTATCACGCGGAGAAACCCCGAGCATAGCCCTCTCCATAGCTCGCTGAGCTACTTTGAGCGTCACATTTACGACACATCTCGTCAGGTATAACTCAAAACCTGAAAACTAAGTTGTACAACCAGTGCGTGTTGCCAGTAATGACCTACAAAACCGAGACGTGGTCCTTCACTGCTGGTCGTATGAGGACGCTCGAAGTAGTGTATTGGATAACTTAATTATTTATTTGCTTTTAACTACGGTACTAGATGCCAAATACTAGATAAATATACAAGATACTAACCCCCGCTAAATGGAGTGACGACTATGAAACCACGGAATAGATACAAAAAGTCGATGGATACAGGTGGCTCTGGACCTTGCTGTGTGACGTGGGAAAGGCTGTAGTGATGATGATGATGACGTATGGTTCATAAATTCTTATTAAATGTGTATCACATACATAGTCTATATTACAGACGTGCAAAATTGATATCAACTTATATATTATATTTGGTAGCGCCAGATACGGTGATTTCTTCGTCAAAGATTTAGTGGACTGTATTGGTATATAAAGTAAGCAAGGCAAGGAATATGATTTGATGCCTTGCCTTGCTCTATGAATACAGCCACTCAACTCTTGATTTATATACACATTCGCGAAGTTACTAGGACTCGATGTCCAGTGATAATTAAAATATAAAAAGGAAATTGAAGAGCACAGTGAACAAAATCACTGTTTTTGATAGATAATATGCAACTATTGCCGCTGCACAGCGCTAGCGTCGCCTTCGATGGCAGGACGTTTATATAAGAAGGATTAGGGAAAAACAGTGGTAACAGTGGTAGAGCCACGCGGCAGCTTTTGCAGTTGCACGCATGTGCGGGCTCGAGCCGGGTTGTAACACGACCTTGCAGAATATCGGCGTGAAATAAAAGTTCTGCTTCCGCGTTTCGTCTGGTGAGTGCAGGTGACCTTAGGCTCAATTTCCCGTCCCCCATCAACATGGTAGCGGAGTTAAAACTACCCAAGGAGGGTACCAGCACCCCTAGATAATCCCTCGCTGAGCATCCACGACCAAGCTACTCCACTCCTGAGCAAAATTCTGCTCATGACAATAACTCCTCGGGCAAGCTGAGGAACAAGTCCCCTGCCACGCTATCCGTGAATTTCTGCAATATCACGGGACTTCACTCGAACCTAAATGCCGACCACTACCACCTCGAGACGGCGAAGCTGGCTCTGCTCTTTCTGACCGAGACACAGGTGTCCTCTACGGCTGATACTTCGTATCTATACTACCCGGGGTACAAACTGAACACTCCTTTGTGCCTCGGGCTGGAGTTTGCGTATGCGTCGGAGAGGACATCTGTCCTCGGCAGTCATGAAGCCTTTGGCTACGCGTAGATAGCGACGACCATCCGCGCGTCTACGGGTGTCTCTTTAGTTCCCATAGCCGTAATACAGAAACAGACCGACTCATATACCAAATGGCTACCGATTTCTTGCTACAGCAGATCCCCTCCGCAGAGATTGTAATCCTCGGCGATTTTAACGCCCACCACACCGAATTGCTTGGTTCACGTTTAACCGATCATGCTGGGAGATCTGTTCATGATTTTGCCTTGGCATATGGTCTGACACAACTGGTTACTTCGCCTAGGCGGATTCCAGATGTGGAGGATCATGCACCTTCCCTGTTGGACTTTCTGCTGACCTCTCATCCGGACAGATATCAGGTCTCCGTCGACGTCTCTCTTGGCTCCTCGGATAATTGTCTAGTCCGGAGTGTGGTGCCATTCACGCTGAAATTGCGGTTGCATTCTGCAGGCTGTCGCCGTGTTTAACACACTAGGTCGGCTGATTGGGATAGAATGCGGTCTTTCTTTGCATCCTATCCTTGCGGGGCGGGTTTGCTTCTCGCGGGACGATCCCAACGTTGTTGCTAACCTAGTCGCTGATGTGGTACTTTAGGGTATGTAACTTATTATTCCTTCCTCTGTGGTGCCCATCGGAGGCAGGTCTCAGCCATGGTTTAGTCGCTCCTGTAAAATAGCATCATGCTATAAGCAGGAGTGATACCGGGCCTGGGCTGACGCGTGTAAACACCAGCACCCTAAAAAAGAAGTATAATTCCGACTTCAGGTCCTTCAAAAGAGTCATTGCCAAGGCAAAGTCAAAGCACATAGGCTGAATTGGTGAGAAACTAGTTCGCCTTCCTTAGGGACCCGTGCATTCTGGTCTCTCGCCAAGGCTGTCCGAGGGAATTTCTGTGAGCCATCTCTTCCATCTCTGCACAGGGAGAACGATTCATTGGCCCATGCCACAAAAGAGAAAGCCGATCTGCTAGGCCCTTTCTTTGCGTCCAACTTGACTTTCGATGACGGAGAAGCACACCGCCAACCATCCCGCGGTGGGTGTGCTCCATGCCGTATGTGCGGTTCACACAGCGCTCGGTTCGCAAAGCACTCCTCTTTCTGGACATCCACAAGTCGAGCGGGTCTGACGGAATCCCCCCAATGGTGCTTTTCCATTATAATAAATCAGACCGAGATCGGACAGAGAACGAACTGTAAACGGCAAATGAGGATCGACCCTAAAAGGAATGGCGTGCTCAGTAGAGCGGGACAGTATTTCATGCCAACACACCGCTTGCAACTTTACAAGGCGCAGGTTCGGCCGCACATGGAATACTGTTCCCAACTCTCGGCTGGGGCTCCTCATTGCTAGTTCCTTCCACTTGACCGCATCCAGCGCAGAGCGGATCGAATCGTCGACGACCGAGTGCTTTCCAATAGGCTCGGTTCACAGGCGCTGCAAAGAGATGTTACATCCCTTTGCATTTTCTTTCGCATCTACCACAGGGAGTGCTCTGAGTAATTGTTCGCATTTAATCCCAGCCGCCAAATTTCATGAACGCACATCGCAGTAAAACTCCCGATACCATCCATACCATCTGGATGTTTGGCGGTCCCCCACTGTACGTTTCACTGGGAGTTTTCAGAGTTTTCATAAAAGAACTTGCTCCTTTCTAAAAGGCAGGCAACGCACCTGCAATTCCCCTGATGTTTCAGTTGTTCATGAGCGGATGTAGTCACTTAACATCAGGTGAGCCATATGCTCGTTTGTCCCCTCTACTCTAAAAAAAAGAAGGGGTTAAATATATGTACTAAGTATTTTATTACTTATTAATTTGTATTTGTGTCTCCTATTAAGTTGTAACAGGGGCGGTTGCGCCTTACAAACCAAAAAGCCCGTCATGCCCTATTAAATTCACTAAACTAAACGTGATCTGATTAAAATTTAATATTTAAATTTTCGCGCGCTTAATGCTTAAATGTCGTAAAGTATTAAGGGTATGTTCCGAAACGTTTTCAGTATACTGCCGAATACAAATGATGTCATCAATTGACACTATATTGTACTGGTGTGCCGCCGCCATATTGCCAGTATATCCGGCCATAATAAAACAATTTTTAATTGTGTGTGCGCTGAATGAAGCATGCCAGAATTTGTTTTTATTTATTCAAATACAAAAAATTATAGGATAATTGTTGGTATCTCCATTAGGAGGATATAATGATTTTTGGAGCACAAAATGACAAAATAATCGCCAACACTTTTCCAATATGGCGCAAATGTATGACGTCATATACTGTTCTATGTTTTGGAACGAATCACCAGTATAGCGTCGATTCATGACGTCATTTGCATTGGACAGTACACTGGGTTCTATTTTGGAACATACCCTAAATAACGTGCCAACGACGAGCAAACGAATCGATGCATGCGACTGTCTCGCTTGCATTCGTTACTTCACATCGAGCTTTGCAAACGCATATATTTAATTTTTCAACATTTCTAACCTATAACAGCGTACAAAGAAAATTAATTACTGTGGTTGGTTTATCCAGGATTCGCAGGGGCGAAGCCTGGTTTCTATAGAAAATGTCGTAGGTATAATGATGCTAAGTAAAGTGGATTATGTAGAAGTTATACTTAATTGTAACTATAGCACACTAGTAATGTTTTTAAAGTTTTACTAAGAAAATATTACTTGTAACAAGCAAAATATTTCAAAGTTATATCAAGATAATTAATGTTAAAGTTATGTGTCATATGTTTTGATTCAATGTTTTGTTCTCAGGTTAGCTAAACCGATCGAATTCACAAGCAACCTTAATCCAGTATGTCTGTACACAAGTCCTAACGATCCGAAGATACCACTTACTGTCACAGGCTGGGGAAAGACCAGTAATACAAGTAAGTTTAAAATAATTTAAAGTTTTATATGTGGTTGAGCCATGCTGCAGCTACATTAGTGGTATAGATGTAGCACAATGGGTTGGCTCGACGGGGGAAGGACCACGCTCTCACAGAACGCCAACGTAAAATAGCAGCTTAACGCTGTTGTGTCGTATTGTGAGTAGTAGAGAACCGGAGACCCTTTTCACTGAAAACGAGGCATTCCATCTTAGTCCTCACGGGTGATAACGCAACCACTTACCATCAGGTGGACTGTGTGCTCGTTTGTCACCCCTATCGTATAAAAAATACACTGTAAAAAAGTCCACTGCTAAACATATGGAGGCAAGCCATGGAGGAGGCATACCTCCATGGCTTGCCTCGTAAGTTTGTTATCTGCGGTAGCGATTTTTGGCATGCAGGTTTGCAAACGTAGTTTCTTATTTTTATTCAGCCATTTGTGACGCGCTTTGCAAAGATAACTAGGTTTCTTAAAACAATGTAATATGACAGTATACCATGCTATTTGAGTGATAACTAAAAGATAAATTCTTAACTATGCCAGCTATCTTTGTTACGCCTACATGATTAAAACTACTTTTACGGATTTTATCGCGTTTATTTTTACTTTTTATTTACTTTTATTTTTAATTCCCGACGTTTCGGGCGCTTTCCAGCAGAGTGCCGTGCCCAGAGAGCGCCCGTGACCATGGGTGCTGGAAAGCGCCCGAAACGTCGGGAATTAAAAATAAAAGTAAATAAAAAGTAAAAATAAACGCGATAAAATCCGTAAAAGTAGTTTTAATCATGTATAGTGTTCGCGTAAATATAAGAAATCATTATTTTGTTACGCCTAATTTAAAAAAAATGTTTAAATAATTTAGTTATAAAAAATATGGAGTAACCTGAAAATAACTATGTCAGTAATAATAAACAATTATAAAATCTGGATGCTTGGTGGTCCACCACTATACGATTTATTAGGAGTTTTGTTCCTCGCGCGACTTGTTTGTGGAATCGTTAACGATCGTTTTTCCGGACCAATACGACTTTAATGAGAGAGAACCGTTTCTAGCAGTGGTTTTTTGATAATTCTTTATTTTAAGTGGGTTGCACATGTCTACGCTGTAGCCTCTTACCATCAGTAGGCAACTTTATAAATAATTGTTACAGGAAGCATTCGCAGCAATATACTGTTGAAGGCGAACGTTTCGGTTGTGGCGCGAGAGAAATGCACCACATCGTATACCTCATGGCGCAAGCTGCCGGACGGCATATCTGACGACCAGATATGTGCTGGTGACCCGCAAGGTCTGAAAGATACTTGCCAGGTAAACTAAGTATTACAATGATGATCATATCTGCATAAAGACAAAGATTGTGACGCTGTCATGGTTGGACCATTAAATGCCTCATAGTTTGTTGGCATAGCTTATTATTATTGATGCTTCAACGTCTAAGAAGGCAAAATATTAAAAAAAAAACTGAAACTGGAACTGTGGAATATTATAATATATTATAAAAAAGGCAATATTATAATATTTCCACAGAATATTCCGAAAACAATAAAGTTTTTATAACTATATTATATTTCATCCAACTCCTCCCTGGGCTTCACGAAACGGGATGAGCTTACATTTGCACCACAGTTGATATTTAAATATAAAGATCTAAGCGATATACAACACGTAACATAATTAACGCACTTTGAGAAAGTAGTTTGTTTCAGAATCGTTTACTGAATCGATTCCTATCATTTTTAATATAGGTAATTTTTTATCCCAAAAATAATTAAAACTACGTAAATTACGGTCACACTAAATCTGTACAGTCAAAACAAACTGAAATGGACCGTAACTTAAGGCAATAAGACTTTTAAGAGTGCAGTTTTATTTGTATTATTACTAATTCTGTCATTCAATAAAAGTAAAGAAAAAGGAACTTTATTTCAAGCACGTTAAAGTCTTTGCGTTCGTGGATTTGTACTGTGACCACAACATTCTTCCGGAATTAGTATAACTAATTTGATAAATAATCAGTGCATAAAAATGTTTAACTAAAAATTCAGTGTATGTATTATGATTATAACGTAATATACTAATTGGGGTGTCTGAGGGTGTGCGTTAATTACGTTACATATTGTACTTAAAGTCTGACTAAGGGCTTAGACTCAAAGGGCTCGCCATAAAATTCAATAATAAGCGAGCAACTCGATTTACATTACTACTAGCGTATGTACTTGCATGTCCAAGAAATGATAAAAACTTTCAAGGGCTTGTCAGCAAGTTAACACACGTTCGGACGATGCAACGAACTCTTTCCTGCCTTGAAACTAACCCACTTAGTAATGAGGGGCGTGTGCCAAACAATAGGATGTCAATGGCTGTTACTTTACTTTTTATTGTTGTAACCGTTAGCTTTTGCACTAGCGAAACCATAGAATACTATAATAAAAACATAATAGAACGGGAGAGTGGGCGGAGCCCGTGTAGCCACTAAAATGTCACTAACACGTCAATTCACACGTATAAATGTCAACACGAGATGTGTTTTGACGTTACAATCGTTTCCAAATTTCCCATGCAAATTATTTAGAAAATGCTAAATTGCAAGCTATTTACAAATAAATATGTATTAAAATGTGTCTGTCAGCACAGCGAATCGGGTTTTGTAGTAGTGATAATACGACGTAATTGCTTGTATGTGTGCTCCCGGCGACGCCGAACCTCGTACAAAATAACGTTGACAGCCATTCTATTGTGTATTATAGTATTCTATGGGCGAAACAGTCATAGAAGACATGTTAAAATTTCTTTTTTACAAATTTCCATGTTGAATAAATCATATTTGACTATTTAATATTACAAAATATTCACACTCAATAACTAAAAATAATAAAAACTGGCAGCTGCAGTTTTTCATTATTTGGCTCGTATGCCAACCCGCTTGCTTGGCAACTTTGTCAAAATCCCACCTATGAGTCAATCTTTGGAGAGGCCTATGTTCAGCTGTGGAGTTATAGGCTTTGATGGATGGATGGAGTTATCATCACAATATTACGTGCTGACCTATGCTAGTTGTTCCTATATTCAGCTGTGGAGTTATAGGCTGTGATGGATGGATGGAGTTATCATCACAATATTAGGTGCTGACCTATGCTAGTTGTTCCTATGTTCAGCTGGGGAGTTATAGGCTGTGATGGATGGATGGAGTTATCATCACAATATTAGGTGCTGACCTATGCTAGTTGTTCCTATGTTCAGCTGGGGAGTTATAGGCTGTGATGGATGGATAGAGTTATCATCACAATATTAGGTGCTGAACTATGCTAGTTGTTCCTATGTTCAGCTGTGGAGTTATAGGCTGTGATGGATGGATGGAGTTATCATCACAATATTAGGTGCTGACCTATGCTAGTTGTTCATATGTTCAGCTGTGGAGTTGTAGGCTGTGATGGATGGATGGAGTTATCATCACAATATTAGGTGCTGACCTATGCTAGTTGTTCCTATGTTCAGCTGGGGAGTTATAGGCTGTGATGGATGGATAGAGTTATCATCACAATATTAGGTGCTGAACTATGCTAGTTGTTCCTATGTTCAGCTGTGGAGTTATAGGCTGTGATGGATGGATGGAGTTATCATCACAATATGAGGTGCTAACCTATGCTGGTTGTTCCTATATTCAGCTGTGGAGTTATAGGCTGTGATGGATGGATGGAGTTATCATCACAATATTAAGTGCTGACCTACGCTAGTTGTTCCTATGTTCAGCTGTGGAGTTGTAGGCTGTGATGGATGGATGGAGTTATCATCACAAATTAGGTGCTGACCTATGCTAGTTGTTCCTATGTTCAGCTGTGGAGTTATAGGCTGTGATGGATGGATGGAGTTATCATCACAATATTAGGTGCTGACCTAAGCTAGTTGTTCCTATGTTGAGCTGTGGGGTTATAGGCTGTGATGGATGGATGGAGTTATCATCACAATATTAGGTGCTGACCTATGCTAGTTGTTCCTATGTTCAGCTGGGGAGTTATAGGCTGTGATGGATGGATAGAGTTATCATCACAATATTAGGTGCTGAACTATGCTAGTTGTTCCTATGTTCAGCTGTGGAGTTATAGGCTGTGATGGATGGATGGAGTTATCATCACAATATGAGGTGCTGACCTATGCTGGTTGTTCCTATATTCAGCTGTGGAGTTATAGGCTGTGATGGATGGATGGAGTTATCATCACAATATTAGGTGCTGACCTATGCTAGTTGTTCCTATGTTCAGCTGGGGAGTTATAGGCTGTGATGGATGGATGGAGTTATCATCACAATATGAGGTGCTGACCTATACTGGTTGTTCCTATATTCAGCTGTGGAGTTATAGGCTGTGATGGATGGATGGAGTTATCATCACAATATTAAGTGCTGACCTACGCTAGTTGTTCCTATGTTCAGCTGTGGAGTTGTAGGCTGTGATGGATGGATGGAGTTATCATCACAAATTAGGTGCTGACCTATGCTAGTTGTTCCTATGTTCAGCTGTGGAGTTATAGGCTGTGATGGATGGATGGAGTTATCATCACAATATTAGGTGCTGACCTAAGCTAGTTGTTCCTATGTTGAGCTGTGGAGTTATAGGCTGTGATGGATGGATGGAGTTATCATCACAATATTAGGTGCTGACCTATGCTAGTTATTCCTATGTTCAGCTGGGGAGTTATAGGCTGTGATGGATGGTTGGAGTTATCATCACAATATTAGGTGCTGAACTATGCTAGTTGTTCCTATGTTCAGCTGTGGAGTTATAGGCTGTGATGGATGGATGGAGTTATCATCACAATATGAGGTGCTGACCTATGCTGGTTGTTCCTATATTCAGCTGTGGAGTTATAGGCTGTGATGGATGGATGGAGTTATCATCACAATATTAGGTGCTGACCTATGCTAGTTATTCCTATGTTCAGCTGGGGAGTTATAGGCTGTGATGGATGGATAGAGTTATCATCACAATATTAGGTGCTGAACTATGCTAGTTGTTCCTATGTTCAGCTGTGGAGTTATAGGCTGTGATGGATGGATGGAGTTATCATCACAATATGAGGTGCTGACCTATGCTGGTTGTTCCTATATTCAGCTGTGGAGTTATAGGCTGTGATGGATGGATGGAGTTATCATCACAATATTAGGTGCTGACCTATGCTAGTTGTTCCTATGTTCAGCTGTGGAGTTATAGGCTGTGATGGATGGATGGAGTTATCATCACAATATTAGGTGCTGACCTAAGCTAGTTGTTCCTATGTTGAGCTGTGGAGTTATAGGCTGTGATGGATGGATGGAGTTATCATCACAATATTAGGTGCTGACCTATGCTAGTTGTTCCTATGTTCAGCTGGGGAGTTATAGGCTGTGATGGATGGATAGAGTTATCATCACAATATTAGGTGCTGAACTATGCTAGTTGTTCCTATATTCAGCTGTGGAGTTATAGGCTGTGATGGATGGATGGAGTTATCATCACAATATTAAGTGCTGACCTACGCTAGTTGTTCCTATGTTCAGCTGTGGAGTTGTAGGCTGTGATGGATGGATGGAGTTATCATCACAAATTAGGTGCTGACCTATGCTAGTTGTTCCTATGTTCAGCTGTGGAGTTATAGGCTGTGATGGATGGATGGAGTTATCATCACAATATTAGGTGCTGACCTAAGCTAGTTGTTCCTATGTTGAGCTGTGGAGTTATAGGCTGTGATGGATGGATGGAGTTATCATCACAATATTAGGTGCTGACCTATGCTAGTTGTTCCTATGTTCAGCTGGGGAGTTATAGGCTGTGATGGATGGATAGAGTTATCATCACAATATTAGGTGCTGAACTATGCTAGTTGTTCCTATGTTCAGCTGTGGAGTTATAGGCTGTGATGGATGGAGTTATCATCACAATATGAGGTGCTGACCTATGCTGGTTGTTCCTATATTCAGCTGTGGAGTTATAGGCTGTGATGGATGGATGGAGTTATCATCACAATATTAGGTGCTGACCTATGCTAGTTGTTCCTATGTTCAGCTGTGGAGTTATAGGCTGTGATGGATGGATGGAGTTATCATCACAATATTAGGTGCTGAACTATGCTAGTTGTTCCTATGTTCAGCTGTGGAGTTATAGGCTGTGATGGATGGATGGAGTTATCATCACAATATGAGGTGCTGACCTATGCTGGTTGTTCCTATATTCAGCTGTGGAGTTATAGGCTGTGATGGATGGATGGAGTTATCATCACAATATTAGGTGCTGACCTATGCTAGTTGTTCCTATGTTCAGCTGTAGACTTGTAGGCTGTGATGGATGGATGGAGTTATCATCACAATATGAGGTGCTGACCTATGCTGGTTGTTCCTATATTCAGCTGTGGAGTTATAGGCTGTGATGGATGGATGGAGTTATCATCACAATATTAGGTGCTGACCTATGCTAGTTGTTCCTATGTTCAGCTGGGGAGTTATAGGCTGTGATGGATGGATGGAGTTATCATCACAATATGAGGTGCTGACCTATGCTGGTTGTTCCTATATTCAGCTGTGGAGTTATAGGCTGTGATGGATGGATGGAGTTATCATCACAATATTAGGTGCTGACCTATGCTAGTTGTTCCTATGTTCAGCTGTGGAGTTATAGGCTGTGATGGATGGATGGAGTTATCATCACAGTATTAGGTGCTGAACTATGCTAGTTGTTCCTATGTTCAGCTGTGGAGTTATAGGCTGTGATGGATGGATGGAGTTATCATCACAATATGAGGTGCTGACCTATGCTGGTTGTTCCTATATTCAGCTGTGGAGTTATAGTCTGTGATGGATTGATGGAGTTATCATCACAATATTAGGTGCTGACCTATGCTAGTTGTTCCTATGTTCAGTTGGGGAGTTATAGGCTGTGATGGATGGATGGAGTTATCATCACAATATGAGGTGCTGACCTATGCTGGTTGTTCCTATATTCAGCTGTGGAGTTATAGGCTGTGATGGATGGATGGAGTTATCATCACAATATTAAGTGCTGACCTACGCTAGTTGTTCCTATGTTCAGCTGTGGAGTTGTAGGCTGTGATGGATGGATGGAGTTATCATCACAAATTAGGTGCTGACCTATGCTAGTTGTTCCTATGTTCAGCTGTGGAGTTGTAGGCTGTGATGGATGGATGGAGTTATCATCACAATATTAGGTGCTGACCTAAGCTAGTTGTTCCTATGTTCAGCTGTGGAGTTATAGGCTGTGATGGATGGATGGAGTTATCATCACAATATTAGGTGCTGACCTATGCTAGTTGTTCCTATGTTCAGCTGTGGAGTTATAGGCTGTGATGGATGGATGGAGTTATCATCACAATATTAGGTGCTGAACTATGCTAGTTGTTCCTATGTTCAGCTGTGGAGTTATAGGCTGTGATGGATGGATGGAGTTATCATCACAATATGAGGTGCTGACCTATGCTGGTTGTTCCTATATTCAGCTGTGGAGTTATAGGCTGTGATGGATGGATGGAGTTATCATCACAATATTAGGTGCTGACCTATGCTAGTTGTTCCTATGTTCAGCTGTGGAGTTATAGGCTGTGATGGATGGATGGAGTTATCATCACAATATGAGGTGCTGACCTATGCTGGTTGTTCCTATATTCAGCTGTGGAGTTATAGGCTGTGATGGATGGATGGAGTTATCATCACAATATTAGGTGCTGACCTATGCTAGTTATTCCTATGTTCAGCTGGGGAGTTATAGGCTGTGATGGATGGATGGAGTTATCATCACAATATGAGGTGCTGACCTATGCTGGTTGTTCCTATATTCAGCTGTGGAGTTATAGGCTGTGATGGATGGATGGAGTTATCATCACAATATTAGGTGCTGACCTATGCTAGTTGTTCCTATGTTCAGCTGTGGAGTTATAGGCTGTGATGGATGGATGGAGTTATCATCACAATATTAGGTGCTGAACTTTGCTAGTTGTTCCTATGTTCAGCTGTGGAGTTATAGGCTGTGATGGATGGATGGAGTTATCATCACAATATGAGGTGCTGACCTATGCTGGTTGTTCCTATATTCAGCTGTGGAGTTATAGGCTGTGATGGATGGATGGAGTTATCATCACAATATTAGGTGCTGACCTATGCTAGTTGTTCCTATGTTCAGTTGGGGAGTTATAGGCTGTGATGGATGGATGGAGTTATCATCACAATATGAGGTGCTGACCTATGCTGGTTGTTCCTATATTCAGCTGTGGAGTTATAGGCTGTGATGGATGGATGGAGTTATCATCACAATATTAAGTGCTGACCTACGCTAGTTGTTCCTATGTTCAGCTGTGGAGTTGTAGGCTGTGATGGATGGATGGAGTTATCATCACAAATTAGGTGCTGACCTATGCTAGTTGTTCCTATGTTCAGCTGTGGAGTTATAGGCTGTGATGGATGGATGGAGTTATCATCACAATATTAGGTGCTGACCTAAGCTAGTTATTCCTATGTTCAGCTGTGGAGTTATAGGCTGTGATGGATGGATGGAGTTATCATCACAATATTAGGTGCTGACCTATGCTAGTTGTTCCTATGTTGAGCTGTGGAGTTATAGGCTGTGATGGATGGATGGAGTTATCATCACAATATTAGGTGCTGACCTATGCTAGTTGTTCCTATGTTCAGCTGTGGAGTTATAGGCTGTGATGGATGGAGTTATCATCACAATATTAGGTGCTGACCTATGCTAGTTGTTCCTATGTTCAGCTGTGGAGTTATAGACTGTGATGGATGGATGGAGTTATCATCACAATATTAGGTGCTGACCTATGCTAGTTGTTCCTTTTTTTACCTGACTGCCTCGGAAGAAAAGATTAAAAATAAATTATGTTATTGTTTATTTATAGTCACTTTTTGACATCCTGTAGCCTATATTTAGGGTTTGGTAGGTTTATTGGGATTAAAATTTATGGTAATTTTAGTAGTGCATAGCTCGTAACACATCACTGTTGTCAGGTTATTTAGTTTTATAATCATTTACTTGTTGTTTTAATCGAACCTCAGCTCTGGAGCTAAGCACTCATCACACGTGATACGTAAGCAACTCTAGTTCGTTCCCCGCCGGTAGCAAAGAAATTGTTATTTGCAATTTTAATTGCTGATTTACGAGGAAACCTACATGCAACACAAAATAAAATATTTTGAGGACTTGTGGAGTCGTGCTAGCGACACGTAATGGAGCCGTCCAACTATTTATCTATTACAGCGCATAAAGGTATCTGCTGAACGTAGGCCTTCTGCGCAGAGTAGCAGCAGCCTCGCAGGGGGGTTTTGTCATAGTTGCCGCGCTTGGCAATCGGGTTGCCAACCTCAGTTTTTTATAATTTTGAGTTGTTATCAGGAATACTCTGCTGCCTATCTCTTGTTAGTCAGTGTAAGGGTTCTATCAGACAGGAAGCGGTCACGCGTTCAAGCGTTCCGCGTTCGCGTTTTGCGTTCGAGCGTTCAGTTGCTCACCAATCACGAACGCCTACGTTCTGGTTGACCGACGCGGTGAGAATGCCTGCTGTCTGAGTATGTCTATGTAATGTAATACGTCACAAACAAAAAAAGAACGCGAACACGGAACGCTTGAACGCCTAAACGGCTTCTGTCTGATAGATCCCTGACTCTGTCGCCTCCTTCGACACGTAAGTGAATATTATAACACGACCACACGGTTAATTGAACTAGTGCGGCAAACTCTTTGTTCTATAATGCTTTCAGATATAGAGGAATTCTGTAAAAAGCAGTGAGACATACATAAGCTGTAACTTGTTTAATCAATACTTGGACAATTTAGTCTTGTGTGAAAAATTTGCATTGTTTCTGGCCAGGGCGACTCGGGCGGTCCACTGCAGGGATTAACGGATAGTGACGGGCACTACCGGCTGGTGGGCGTGACGTCATTCGGGCGCGGTTGTGGCTCCACTGTGCCCGGCGTCTACACTCGCATCGCCAAGTACCTCGACTGGATTGAAAGTGTCGTTTGGCCCAACTGATCTAACAAGGAATGGCGTTAAACCTGCATATCACTGTAATTTTGTCTGTATTTTATTTCGAATTTACAAAGGGTTTTCATGTATATATACGTATTTAATTTTAATACTAATGTAACATTTTAAATAAACAATTGTCTGTCCGCCTCAGTGACGTGCCTAGGGTATTGGTATTGAGCAAGCCCAACTTTTTATGTTTTCCGATGCTTAACTCGGTATTTTAAGTTTAATATAAATTAGAGATTATTAAACCGCTAGTTATCAGCTTTTCTTTTTTAAAAGAATTTTCGAACTCATCGTGAGGTCTAAAAAGAAGTTCTTGTTGCGCAAAATACTCACAACTACGAGCGTACTATTGTGAAACACTCGCTGCTCGCGCTGGAATAATATGCGGGAAACAGGACGCCGCCTGTTGCGTTCTCTGTCGCACTTAAGAGCATTACGACGGGCCTGTTGTGAATAATCGTTAAATTTACACACATTACAACTAATTGTTGAAAAATTTTACGCGCGAAATGTATTTTGAAATTCTTTCCATACTGACGAGATATAGATATTTTTATTTGTAACCAACAAACCAACAAATTTGTAAAAGAATAAAAATAAAGGTATTCATTTTGTTTTTATGTTTACCTTATATGACATTTGCTAAATTATTTCGCTATAAACACTAACCAGACTGTCTTCTGATTAAAAAAAAACAAACATATGTAAAACGAACAATACAAGTATCATCAACTTATTAAAATCAATCAACAGTCCAATGAAATTACGACTACATGGATTTGTTAAATAATCTTTTTTTTTTAAATACTTTGTATTAACAAAAAATAAACAAGTACATCTTACTAAAACTTCTTTTAAATAAATATTAAATAATTTCGTAGAAAATAGTTTCTACGAAATTTTCAATACGAGCCAAGTTTGGCTTGTTTTGAAATGGAGCGTGCTAATAATGATTTCTATACAAATCGAGCGCATTTATACAAAAAATGTTGAACTGCAGACATAAGGCATAGATATAATTTACACAGGTTGCGCATAACGAATTTTGAAGATTTCGTCGACACAGCTAGTATAGTTAAACATTTTAGTGCCATCCAAGTCGTGTGTTCGGCTGTTTTGAACATAACATAGCATAATTAAATTTTAATTTAGATTTATCAATAAATAAGAAAATATAAGAGTAGGTAGATTTTAATTTTTAATTCAGTTTTCAATGTGTTTTTTTTTTTCAGTTTTTATTTTAAGACTATTTTGATTGAATCTCGGTCATTATACGCAATCCCTATCAGCTCTTTTTGGTGATATTATGAAAAAGTAGACCAGAAAAGAAATAGAAATATAAAATATCCCAAAGATTGTATTAATGAAACATAATGTTGCTTATTCTTAAGTAATGTTATTTATTTTGTGGCCAATGTGTTTAAATAAAATCATGTTTGTATACCTAATTTGTTCTGTTAGTATTTTGATTTCATTTACACCTTAAAACATGAATATTTGACAACCCAAGGTTCCTATTTTTTTTCTTGTGGCGAGTCGTATAGCATTTTGAGCATATCCTTGCAATATTTAAGATTCCTTATTGTCTCACATTCAGTCAGTAGATACTTAGCAATGATAGATGAACAATTTCGGTGTTGCTTGCGCGAAGTGAAATTCGGTTGCTTGCGAGCTATAAATTTAAAGAAGAGAGCCAGCCCCTGAGCTTTCACGGCTCTCAGGATTTTGGAGTAATGACGAGATAAATAAACATCGCGTCGCGTAAGCATGTCCCATTCCCATGCCGGATGAAGACAACTCAAGGTTGAAGCTTGCCGTTATAATAGCAACCTTCAGCTGGTGGAATAGCAATAACATCATCATGGTTTTGGCTTTTAGCCCATGTCGATAGTGTTAAATCCAAGATAAAAAATCTACGTACCAGTTACCAATTACCTTATTTTAATAATATAATATAATTAATTATATTATATTATTAAAATTAAAAACTATTTATGTTTTTATTTAGTTGTTATATTTTATTTAGATTTTATTTAGATGTTAATTTTAATAGCTAGTGAAAAGGCATTTATTTCTTGATGCATTCTGGAATATACAACAATTTTTAAATGTTTAACATATTTGATATTCATGATATTATACCTTAATTTTTAAGTATTTAGTGCTCTCTATTAGTGATAATTCATATATTAAGCCGTTACTTAAAATTTTTATTGATGCAGAATACCAAGGTATCCTTCATAAATGTAATCTGTTTTACGTAGATGAAAATAATTTTTCTCTAAAATTATTATGTAATTAGTGTTTTATATCTAAATATATTTAGGGCTAAAATTTTGATACTTTATATTAGTCTTACAGAAAAAGTTAGTGAAAACGTATTTTCAAGACTATGCGCATCATAAGGGTATGAACATATTTACTGAAAACATCACTATAATTCACTATCAAATTGTCATTTTCCAAAGAATATTTTTAATTAGGGATCGAAAAAATACCAATGAAGAACCGCTAGATAGCGGTTTTGATACTTGTACCGGAAATCAAATAGAAACCAAAAAAACAATCGTGTGGCACCAATATTACAAGCGAAAAGTTTTAGGATTTTCCTTATAGATATTTTAATAAAAAAGACATATAGTTATGACTTTTTGTCGTTTGTTGTTATGGTAAAAGAAGTTATTAAAAATAAACCTTAACTTCGACGCCACGTAAACATTTCCCTTCGACTTCGTGTCTGAAAAGTTATAGTAATTTGGAACCGGTATTCTGAAACCGTTAAACAGTTTCCCTGTTTTTAAGTAGTTTATAAATAAACCCAGTGTTTTATTTGTTGATATTTTCTCAATACATACATATCATTTGTCGTAAACTAAAGTTTGAAACTAATGTATTGTTAAGTGTAAAGGTTAATCCCGACTCGGAGTTAGTGAAAGCCTAAGCTAATTGGCATTTTGATAGTCCTATTCATAAAGAGTGCGCATTGTGTATTGTAATATTTAATATGAAAATGCTATTTTAAATCATATAATAATCACATTTCATCCGAATTATTCTCATATAAAGATATATAAATAGTAGTGTATATTTACGTAAGTTTAAGGCTGCCTTGTTTTCTTTAGGTATAGTTATGATTTATATTATTATACATGTAAAACTAAGGAATATACATATTCTCAATATTTTTTGAGTTTATCTTTTATACACCTTTTATATACTACTAGCTGTTCCCCGCGACTTCGTCCGCGTGAAATTATTATGTGACATAACTGTAATAGTTAGACATATGGTGTCGCAGACTTTTTGTAGATATTGATATCTTCTATAAAACTGTAGCATATCACTTTGCTCTATTGTCAATAGTTTCCGCAGCGCACGCGGTATAAGGATTTTTTTAAGTATTTTTCCACACCGTGGATTAAGTAACAATATTTTTATACGGATCCCTAATTTTTTAATGGTAATGGTGAATGAATTTTTCAAATAGGTCAAGTAGTTTCGGAGCCTATTCAATTCAAACAAACAAATCTTTCCTCTTTATAATATTAGTGTAGATATTTACATAAGTATAAGGCTGCCTTGTTTTCTTTAGGTATAGTTATGATTTATATTATTATACATGTAAAACTAAGGGATATACATATTCTCAATATTTTTTGAATTTGTCTTTTATATACCGTGTATTGACTGAGTGAGAATATCCGCTACCCCGTATCATCCCATGGGTGTCATGTAAGAGGCGACAGAAAGAAATAAACCAGGGGATGGGCACCAGCTTCTTACTAATAACAACTAAAAATAAAAAATAAAACTACGGTTGCGATACGACAATCTATTGTACAACCAGTGCGTGTTGAAAGTGATGACTTACGGATCTGAGATGTGGTCCTTCACTGCTGGACGTATGAGGAAGCTCAAAGACGCTCAGCGAGCTATGGAGAGAGATATGCTCGGGCTTTCTCTGCGTGATAAACTTTGAGGATATCCGCAGTAGAAACAGAGTGACTGACATAGTCCAACGGATATAGTTCGAAAGCCATATGGCTCGAAGAACCGACAACCGATTGGGAAAAACCACTACTCGAAAACCTTTTTTGGTGACTGTAGGCGAAGTGTAGGGCGACCTGCCATTGGATGGAGTGACAGCTGTGCTTTGTGGCATTCTTTGGGGGAGGCCTATGTTCAACAGTGAACTTTTAAAGGCTGTATCAGTAACGCCTTTTATATATTGGAATATTTATATGTACGATTAAAGCTACTGATGTTTTACAATTATATTCACTTAAAAAAGTGACATTTAATACGCGGACAGGTGGGGCGAGACGCTCGCGCGGCTTGGACGCTTGAGTGGCTACCTAAGTTGTTTATCATTTATATTCGACGTTTATTAAAATGACCACAACCAAAAAAACAAAAAAAATATTTAACAAACAATAAAACGCGCATCCGGGTGTACAGACACTATCTTAGCGAACAGACTATACGTATCTACTATATCTATTTATTTTTATTTATTTATTTATTTATTTATTAGGAAGCCAACATGATATTGTACAATGAAAAAATGTTTACAAATTTTATAGATTAATCTGAAGTTTAGTACATAATTATCATACTTATAGGCTAACTTAACATGTTAAAGTAAAATAATAAGTAACGCATTATTATTATTGAAAAAGGAAGAAAGGATAATAAAATAACCTATTGTAATACATCAAACAAAGAATAAAAAAAACTTTTTTTTCTACAATAACTCATGAGATTATCTTAATTTTGTTATAAAAATGTTTTTTAATTTTATTTTTAAAAGTGGTATAAGAATCGTTGAATATGTCAAGATCGACTGATTTAGAAATTACATTATAAGTTTTTAAGGTTCTATTAATTGGAGCTGATAGTCCGACATTTGTTCTACAATACCTAGTTTTGAATAAACTATAATTTCTTATTCTAGAATTAGGTCTAGGAATAACATATGATATTTTACCTAAAAGATT